CCCCAAAACCCCAAAACCCCAAAACCCCAAAACCCCAAAACCCCATTCAACTAGCTCACTGCTGAATATTTATAATCGATATAAAACCTTTTTAGAAATTTCTTATTTGATAGTTTATATCAATATTTAAATTTTTGGATCTTTTTGATCTCAGATTCACTGAGTGGTTTTTAGATTTCCTACTTTAAATCTCACTTGCCGCCAAGTCCTGCTGGGAAATCGAGAGGATTTAAGTCGGCCAAGAATAACTCATCTTCAGACTCTAGAGAGTAAATTTGGTTCAAATTTTCACTTAGAGCTGATCCAAGAATCCAAATGGCTGTGAACCAAACCCAAAATTGCCATCACAAGGTTTTGGCTACGTCTCACTCTTGGGAATTTTGATAATTTTCGCACTGTAAAGGAGATATCATAACTATAACAAATAAAGGAACTTTCAATAACTGCAGTATCTTCCTCCAAAAGTTTGAATACTCGCTTGCGCAATGAATCAACGATGCTAGCATGAAAAACTTTACCAAGTTTAGAGTCGAAAGAAGATGAGGAATTAAAAAAATTAAAATCTTTTCTAGGATAAAATGTATGAGCCACCCAAGCCCTGGAATTTTCATACCCAGATTGGCTCACAGAATCAACAAAAATGGGAGAGTTAGAGTCAATGTGATCAGTTTTCTGAGGCTGCAGTAGGTTGTGCTGGTATGATTATACCCAGAATAATCGCCATGTCATTGCCATCAAAACTCATGATTGCATTTTTGTCAAGCCATGTGATTACATCCTCCTTCCTTCCAAATCACCATCCCTCAGGTGGGGCAGGGCGAGCCTGTCAAGACCTCATTTATATACGAGAAGCTGTCTGAGTTTAAGGAGATAAAATCCTTTAAAGACCTTGATAATTTTTGGAGAGAGCTCAGGTGTTCGTATTCATGCCACGTAAGTGAGCAATTTTCTCATTCTAAAGGCTCCTCACACTGTTGAAAAGATACGAACCCAGCATATTTTCAGTTTTGGTTAGGACACCTCCTGACATCAGTAGTACTGCTGATGTAAAGCTCGGTGTAGAGATTATTGATCTTTTCAAATTCATTTACACCAAGAGCGTGAATGAGATCGATCGGTGCTAAATTTTTATCTCAATCATAATATGGGCACTTAATGTTAATCTCTCTTTTGATCCTATCATAGACAATTCTTGTGTGGGCCCAGTTGGTCAATCATTGGCTTCAAAATGGCTTACTGCAACAAATAGGCTTGGTAGCAATATTTGTATAGCATATGATACAAGTCTTTGACATTTTAAATCTTAATTCAATTAAAAGAAAGGATTCCGGGGTTTTGGGGTTTTGGGGTTTTGGGGTTTTGGGG